GATAATTCTCAGTTTTGTGGCTCAAGTTTCGGGTTTCGATGTTAGGGTTTAGGGTGTAGGGTTTAGGGTTTAGGGTTTAGGGTTTAGGGTGTGCAAGGAACTCCCAGTCTTGGTTTAGGGTTCGCTAGTGAGAGGTTTAGGCTTTGGGGTCTAGGCGCGGAGGATGATGAACAGGCTGAGTAGCTCCTTGCTGAACCCGATTGTGGTTTAGGGTTCAGGGTTTAGGGTTTAGGGTTCAGGTTCAGGGTTTAGGGTTTAGGGCCCAAATCCCACTGCGATTGTTGGCCCCTCTCCGCTAGCGAATGTCGAACACAGTCAGCATTCCACCCCTAAAATGAACCTCAAACCTCGATGCCTTTCGATTCGACCAGACACTGCATAGCTGACCGGCTTAGAGCTTTGTAGTTTGTTGTGAATTTTGTCAGATCTGCAACATCCCAGGTAGAAGCACACACACACACACACCCGATCCTTGTACCTAAACCTCTAAAACCCAAATCGCAGGCCCAAGCCCCTGAGCAAACAAAACCAGAGCCCTGTAAAACCTTGGACACCCCCAAAACCGAAAAACCCTAACCACCCGAACCCCTTAACCCTAAGCCCCATGACCCCCCTAAGCCCTCCACCCTAGACCCCCTGAACCCCCCAACACCTAAACCCAAAGCCCTAAGCCCTAAACCACCAATCCCCAAAATCCCTAAACCCCCCAAAACCTAAAAACCTCGGCCGTGGTGCATCTGAGGTTACTGGTCGGCGACAACTCAGCTGTCCTTGCTGCTTGCTTAGGGTTGAGGGTTGAGGGTTGAGGGTTGAGGGTTGAGGGTTGAGGGTTGAGGGTTGCGGGTTGAGGGTTGCGGGTTGAGGGTTGAGGGTTGAGGGTTGAGGGTTGAGGGTTGAGGGTTGAGGGTTGAGGGTTGAGGGTTGAGGGTTGAGGGTTGAGGGTTTAGGGTTTAGGGTTTAGGTTTAGATTTTAGGGTTTAGGGTTCAGGGTTCAGGGTTTAGGGTTTAGGATTTAGGGTTTGGGGTTTAGGGTGAGAGGGCTCCAGGGACCAGGTTGGGGTTCAGGGTCTTGATGCCCCATTCTTTCCCTTTCGCAAACCCTAAACCCTAAACCCTAAACCCCAAACCCTAAACCCTCAACCCCAAACCCCCTCAACCCTCAACCCTCAACCCGCAACCCGCAACCCTCAACCCTAAACCCTAAACCGCCGGCGCCCCGTTCGTGAGCTCATGTCAGCCATCCGTCGGTCGCTGATTTCGACTTGACTGGGCGACGCAACAGGCATGGTATAGAAAGGGCCCAATACCCTAAACCCTACACCCCAAGCCCCTTCTCCGGCTAGTTGCAGCAAGGACACCGAAACCAAAGACGGGCAAAAGGCCCCCTAACCCTAAACCCTCAACCTTAAATCCTAAACACTCTAGACCCTCTGCTCAGCCGAATACCTTGTAAGCCCTATAAAGCCTATCTCCGCCGAACCATGCATCTCTCCAAGCCATGAACACTTTTCTAACGTTTTTTGAGACAAGGGCTCCACCGTCCAGGCTTTAAAATCCTACGCCCTAAACTCTAAACCCTAAACCCTAAACCCTAAACTCTAAACCCTAACATGCTATGTAGGGCTTGTGGTGGCGCCCCTGACCCGACTTTCGAGACACCACAACAGGAACGGCACTGAAAACATTTGTAGACACACGTTTGTTACACCAGCCGACTCCCAGGAAAGAGCTTAGGTTTGTGTGTACTTCTCCAAGAAATGGAGAACCCTAAACCCCCATACCCTAAACTCGAAACCCTGACCCCTAAACCCCAATTCAACTTCACTTTTTCTACAGCGCAGAACAACACCCGAACTGCAGAAACAACATTTAGGTTTTGTTAGGGACCTGGCGGCTATGTAAGTTTAGGCAAAGGCAGCCATGTTCCCCCTGGTTCTTAGCAGGGAATTCGGGCCCCATATACCCGTTTTAAGCACGGTTCCTCATTCCCTCATTCCCTGCAAAGAACCAGGGGAAGAGTAGCCCTGAACCGTAAACCCTCCCCAAACCCCAAACCCCAAACCCTTAACCCTAAACCCGAAACCCGGAATCCTAAACCCTAAACCCTAAACGCTAAACGCTAAACCCTAAACTCTAAACCCTAAACCCTAAACCTAAACCCTAAACCCTAAACCCTCCCTCAGTCCCTTCTGAGAGCCAGCCACTTTTGTTGCCGAGGCTCGTTGCCTTGGTCGTGCAGGTGGCAGCATCCTTCGGTGAGGCCGTGCAGTTCATCTGAGTCCTGGCGGCTTATGGGGCTTGGGACCTAGTCTTAGGGCTTATACGGTTTAGGGTTTAGGGTTTAGGGCTTAGGGTTTAGGGTTGTGAAAACGCTGACTTCTCAGGATACATTGGACATGCACGCTCTGTGGCCACGAAGGTCCAAGGTGCGGGAGGGTCAGGGCTTAGCTTACCGCTGGGCGGTACATGGGACCTTGAGAGCTGGCGGCAAAAGGGGGCAATCCTTGCAGAGTACAGGGTACTTGATCTCCTTTATTCTGGCGATATTCATCACTGTTGCAGGGCAGCAGTTATCTTTCATCTTCAGATTGCAGGGCAATCTAACGGAACTTTCAGTTCCATCAGGCTTCGGGGAAGCCCTTGATCTACCAGTGGGAATTCTTGATTGAATTCACACTGGTAGCGGAGCTACTGGTGCTTCGCTATCCGTGGATAGGCGCAAAAGTGGATTCGATCCAGGTGGTCCTTTCGACTTGAAGTTCCCAGTTTGGCTGGCATAGCAGATATGGCAACAGAGGCTTCGCAATCGTCGGGACACTCTCCCTCGGAGAACACAGGCTCCCTACAGCTGCCATGGCATGCCATTCCACGCTTCATACCAGGAACCACAGATGTTACAGAGTACAGTGGCAAACTGGAGTTTCTTGCGGCTATGTGGCCTCGAGAGCACATGGCTCTTCTGGCCCCGCGTGCAGCCCTCTTGACAGAGGGAACTGCGTTCAAGAAAGTCTCGAAGCTTGATGCGGCAAAACTGAAGTCTACCGACGACTCTGGAATCCGACTTTTGGTGTCTACCCTGGGAGGGTCCTGGGGCAAGACAGCGCTGGAGACCAAGTATGATTGCTTTGAGAAGGCGATTTACGGCACCTTGCAGAAGAGCGATGAGTCCAACGACAGTTATTTGGCCCGGCATGATGTTCACTTCGAGGAGCTTCTATCCCAAGGCATCAAACTCGAGGAGGTTCGAGCGTACATCTTGTTGCGACAGTCACAGTTGTCATCCGAGGACCGGAAGAAGATTGTGGTAGAGATGGGAGGTACCTTGAGCTACGAGAAGGTATGCAGTGCCATTCGTTTGCTGGGATCGAGGTTCTTTGCTGACCTTCAAGGCCACAGGACAGCCAGAACGAAAGTGTACGACGCCAACTACGTGGAAGAGCCAACTCCTGAGGACTCCGAGCGAGCCTTTCAGGCCAGTGTGACAGGACATGTGGAGGAAGCCGAGACAGAGCTCGACCAGGAGTACCTTGACGCGCTCATCGCCGTGGACGATCCCGATGCCACCCAGATCCAAGCGTTCGAGGAGGAACTTGAAACCTTCTTCCAAGATGTGCCAGCCTTCCAAGATGCACTTGTGAGTTACCTTGAAGCGCGAGGCAGACTTCTAGCCAAAAAAAGATCTCGCGGCTTTTGGCCCATCGCCAAAGGCTCCAAGAGTGGTGGCAAGCCGAGCAAGGGCGCCGGCAAGCACAAAGGAAAAGGATCCAAGGAAGCACTTCTTCAGAGGATTGCGAAAAGCCACTGCCGCAATTGCGGGCAGCGTGGGCATTGGAAGGCTGAGTGTCCTCGCAAAATCAATGCCGCTACCAAGAATGCTGAGGAGATGTTGAATGTTGAGGAGACGTTCGCCACCGAGACCATCATGCCAAATGATCCAGAGGTCATGTCAAGCGTGCCCGAGGAAGCGCTTTCCTTGGAAGAGGCTCACTTCGCAGAGGGTTTGACAAGGGTTCAGGATGTTAGGGATAAGATTAGGAGCCGCATTGCCCTGATTCCCCTAAACCTTAGAAGACGTGTTGCCCTTTTCTCCCGACCTCACAGGCCACGCAGCGTTGGGGAAACATCCTTGACTGAGTCCCCTGCTTCCGTCGCCAAGCTGAGCATTCCATGTCCCTGCCCAGCGCACCTTAGGCATAGCCCATGGAGCAAGCCCAAGATCCCTGACAGATCGTGTGAAAGTGCATTAGTCCAAGACACTGTCCTCGAAGCCATTGTCGATACAGGGGCCAGCCGGTGTGTCATGGGCAAACAGCTTTTGAACACGTTCTTGAGTCAGCTGAGCAAGCCTGTTCGGGGTTTGGTTAAGGTAGCCAAAAGTGCGGTGAAGTTCAGATTTGGGAATAACCAGACACTTGAAAGCGAGCTCCGAGTATTGCTCCCCATAAAAGCAGGCATGTCTCACGTTTTGTGGCTCAGCATCGAGATTGTGCCGGGCAGGACTCCCTTGCTGTTTAGTAAACGGGCTATTAAGCAGTTGGGGGGAATAGTGGACACGGTGCAAGATCTTTGCCATTTGCAGAGACTGGGGAAGAGCCTGCGCTTGAGCACGGGTCCAACCGGACTTTACACGCTAGACCTGGCCAAGTTGTGTGAAGAAAGCCACCAGGACGCTTCATGCCAGCATGTGAGTGAAGAGTCTGTCCCGAAAGACTCTGTCCAGGTTGCCCTCCCGCAAGACTCCCCTGTGCATGCTCCTAAGTCCCAGGAAGATGGATCCTCTGTTGGTAAGTGTATAGATGCTGACGGGTTCCTTAGTCCTTCTGGGTGTAATTCGTATGTAAGTAAAGATAATGACACAGAACAGGGTTGTTTCAACTCTGTATCAGCTAAGCCAGCTGAACGCACTGACGAATCGCCGCCTTTTGTCACCAAATTGCCATCAAGCCAGCCCGTGTGTGTCGCCGATTCCCTCACTCCATCGCCCATTGATCCCAAGAGTCATGGCCCAGAGCCCCAACTCCGTCGGTTCCTCGTCCCTGGACCTTGGCACGCGCTTGGCGCGACTCCAGGATCCCACCTCGACCTACACCGTCGAACAATTGGAATCCCTGGACATGCAGACTCTAGTGCAGTTCCAAGTGGATTTCGGAAAGAAGATGGTCGGAAAGACCTTCGCAGAGGCCCTGGAGAGCAGTCCCGAATGGGGCAAGTGGTGCTGCGATCATCTTCAGGACAGTGCCAAAGTGAAGCATCGTGCTCTGCTGATCTACATTCGCAAGTATGTCGAACAGGCAGAGGCAATCGAGGCCGTGCTGCAAAGCTCACCTTCGGACACAGATCCACACGATCCCAGGACCCGGGGCAGCTCCGCCAAGGCAGCGCCCAAGAGCAAGCCCAAGGTGGCCGCGAAGCCATCGCAAGCTTCCGCGGAAGACCCGTGGGACGTGATCTCAGCGATCGAGCCAGACGGCTCAGTCGTGGAGGATCAGGTGAACGCCCTCGCTGGCAGGATGAATCACATGGAACAGATCATGGAGCAGGTCCTCGGGGCAATTCAGCAGCTGCATGTGACCCAGCAGCAATCCTGAGGGAGGTACAAGTGTGTCAATCGGAGCTTCAGGAAGCCCTAAAGTCATCACATACGAGCACTTCAAGCTCTAGGCACTGGGATAAGCAAGAGGTAGAAGACCATGCCCGAAGCCTTGTCCAACGGCAAGCCACAGCAACTGAGCTGAAGAGATTCCTGCGTTCTGTGCCCTGGCACCTGCTGGATGCATCGCCTGCAAGCTTGACCGCGTCCTCTCCGACAGATACCTTGAAGGAACCCGCCTATCTTACGTTTGGCTCTTTTCGGCATGGGGGTGTTCAGGGAATTACTCGGGTGTCAAAAGAGTTCCCCTGGGTAACGCAAGCTCTTACTCGTGTTCTTCGGTTGACGGACCCTCAGCATCCCTTCACCACCGTGGCCATATCGTGCAACACCTCTGCCCCACCGCATCGCGATGTCCATAATCTTTCGGGGACCTCCAACTTAGTGGTTCCTCTGAACTACCCGTCCAACGGCGGAGAAGTGTGGTCTGCAGACAAGGCGCATCCTCACCAGAGGGAGCACGTTGTCGAATGCAATCGTCAGCCACTGGTAGGAGCCCTCAATCCCCTTAAGTGCCCGATGTATCTCAACCCACGTTCCTGGCACTGCACCATGCCATGGGAAGGGAATAGGGTAATTCTTATAGGCTTTTCATTGAAGACAGCGGAAAGAGCATCTGTGAGTGATGCAGAGTGGCTTCGACAACATGGTTTTCCGGAGTCAGCCGATGCACCCGCCAACTGTGTAGATGAGCGTCCCAATTCTGAACTGCCATCTCCTCTCCGATGCGAGCTGACAACTGCTTCCTCACTGTTGACGTCTTCCGATGTCACCAGCATTGCCCAAGATGCTGCCGTGGCCTGTGCCAATGCGTATGCACGTGCCGAGGATGCTGCCTGGGCTGTCTACCAAGATTCCCAACTCAGTTACGGGGTTCCGAAAGGAAAGCAGTTAGATCTCTTAGAAGTGTATGCCTATGACAACAGCCAACTTACGTCATGGGTCAATAGGCTAGGAGGTAAAGCAAGACGCTTCACTAGAACCGATGGGGACCTTTCGTCTCCAGAGGGCCAACGACGGTTATGGGACATCATTCAACAGGAACAGCCCAGGCACATCTGGATGGCTCCTGAGTGCCGTCTCTGGTGCTCATGGACCAACCTTCACTCTGCCAGGAGCGCCAAGTTTCGAGACGAGCTGCAGCATCAAAGGGATGTAGACCAAACTCACCTCCGGCTGTGTACTAAAGTCTACCAGTGGCAGTGTAAGCATGGAAGAGGCTTTCACCTTGAACAACCCTCAGGATCCAGCATGTTGTCTCAAGAAAACCTTCGACCCATAGTAGAAGGAACCCGCAAAGTCATCGTACATATGTGTGCCTTTGGTTTGGAAACACCTGTTTCCAAACGTCCCATCAAGAAGTCGACTGCCATCCTTAGTACGTGTGCCAATTTGATAAGAAGTCTCGTCGTTAAGCAGTGTCCTGGTCATGCAGAACATCAAGTGGTAGCAGGAAAACTCAGGGAACTGGGAGGTGCTTCAGTATCCCAGTTTGCAGGGTCCTATTGTCAGGGGTTTGCGAAACATGTCGCCAAACAGATGCTGGTGAAACCTTCCGAGACAGCGTTTGCGTCTAATGAAGCCCCTCCCACGACCCGTAAGCGGTTTAAGACTTCAGTAGGTATACCAAGTACGCAGCATCACTTGCCAGCTCAGAAGCGTGCCGCCGACCCCAGCTCCCTTGCTCATGAGCGAGGACAGCCCTCACGGCGGGTCGAGCCTGCCCCGTTGCCACTACACGTAGAGCTGCCGTTTGAAGTTTGGCGCCCCGTGTTCAGGCCCGCTGCCCAGAGCATCACACGTAACACGACGAGCCTGGTGTCTCCACGAAGTGAACTCATAGGACTCATTCAACAGAGATTGCCAGAGATCCAAGTCCAAGTATTGCAGGTCTTTGTAAGCCAGTCAAGAGCAATATTGGTGCCTGGGACAGGATGATCGCTTGAACATGCCCTCAGAAAGAACGAGACTTCGCATCAACCCCGTTCACATACTCCTGACAGTGTTTGGACAACAAAAGAGCGTTCCTGAATTAGCCCGCCAGACTATCCCTGAAAAGATAAGTCCTGAACAGACGTCTTTCCCCTCCGACAAACATGACATAGAGGCGTGGGCGCCTCCGCCCATTCCCATCCATGGCCCGGCGTTTAGGAATCTCAGCAAAGAGGAGAAGAGCACTCTCATCCGGGTGCACGCAAACTTAGGGCACCCTGCCCCTCAGACACTTTCCAATCACTTGCGGGCCGCCGGTGCTGATCCATCGCTTGTTCAAGCAGCGCTCGAGTACCAGTGTGATTCCTGCCTGGAATCTGTGGAGCCTCGACTCCAACGTCCAAGCAAGCTCTCTGAGCCTCGTGAGTTCAACGATGTCATTGGGGTTGATGGGTTTTTCTTTAAGAGTAAGTCCGGGTATAAGTCGTATGTCCTGCATGCCTTGGACGAGGCCAGTTGCTTTCACATGGGACGTCGAACTCAGTCCCGACAAACCGCGCATGCTTTGGAATCCTTGACCAATTTTTGGTTCACCTGGGCCGGTAACCCTCGAAAAATTTACTTAGATCCCGCAGGAGAATTTAGGTCATCTGAAATTTTGGACCATTTCCAAAGCTTGAGCATTCAAACTTTTGTGACTGCAGCCGCCTGGCAGCGCGGACGCCTTGAGCGCCACGGCGATGTGTTGAAGGACATTCTGCAAAGACTTGATACTCAGATGCCCTTGATCAACGATGTTCTCTTCGACCAAGCCCTTGTACAAGCCCTTCAGGCCAAAAATGCCCTAATGAGGTTTAAAGGTTATGCGCCTGAACAAATCGTACTTGGTAAGTCTCTGCGAATCCCTGGGAGCGTTACGTCCGACGAAGACCTGTCTGCCCATGCTATAGTAGAAGGATCCGACTTGGAAGCAGAGATGCAGCGTCAAAGGCTGGAGTTGCGATGCATGGCGCGCAAAGCGTTCTGGGAGGCTGACAACTCCCAAACGATACGAAGGGCAATGCTTCGCCGATCGCATCCCATGAGAGGTCCATATCGGCCCGGGGATTGGGTGTTGTATTGGATACGCAAAACATCCCCAAATCGTCTTGCTTCAGGTCGGTGGCATGGCCCCGGACGCGTAATTTGCCAAGAAGGTTCTTCTGTAGTTTGGATCTCTCATGGAACGACTGTTCTTCGTTGTCCGCCCGAGAGTGTTCGTCCAGCCAGTCTGAGAGAGTGGCAACATTTGTCATCCGGTGAACAAGAACTCCCGACCAAGAACGCAGGTGGAGCCAATGCGTTCCGCGATCTCATGGATTCTGCCGTGCCTGCACCTTCAGCATCTTCTGCAAATAATCCCGAACCCACACAAGTGTTGAGGCTGGGCCTCCAAATGCTACGTCGCAACAAGCCGTGCCAGACGAAGACTTAGGACAGCCCGAACAAGAACTTACCCCTCAAGTGTCACAGACTCCTGATGGCGCAGAAGGTGGTGTTGAAGTTGAGCGCGAACCTGAGACAGCTCAGGAAGCCGCAGCCCCTTCCGTGCCTTCTGCCCTGCCAAGCAGTGAAGCTGTTGATCCAATGAGTGTTCCTGTTCCCGAGTCGGATGATGGACTGGTTAGCGAAAACATTTTTCTAGCTTGTGAAAATATTGGAATTTCAGAGGCAGACGGTAATGAACTTGTTGCTTTTACGCACGTGGAGACGTCTGAGGAAGCGCAGGGTCCACCCCTTGCTGAAGACGGGTTTCCCTACATCACACAACCCCTTGAATGTGGAGAGCAACAAGCTTACTGCTTGGAAATACCAATGAATGCCAAAAACTATCGCAAATGTCTCCGTGAAGATGCCCGAGAGCAGATGACTCTCTTAGCTTCCGTCAGCAAACGATCCCGGTCCGAAGTATACCTCAAAGACCTCAATGCCCAGGAACGCCAGCTTTTTGCTCAGGCCAAAGATAAAGAGATTCAGTGTTGGTTACAGACTTCTGCCATCAAAGCTGTTCTAAGGCGTAGCCTCAACCCCGACCAGATCCTCAAAAGTAGGTGGGTGCTCACATGGAAGCCGCCAGAACCAGGTGAGAGCCAACGTAGGGCAAAAGCTAGGTTAGTGGTGTTAGGCTATCAAGATCCAAAGCTGGTTGAGGTCATGCGGGACGCGCCCACGCTTTCCCGCGAAGGGCGTGCCGTGGTCTTACAATCCGTCGCATCTGCAAAATTCACCCTGACTTCGTTCGATATAAAAACTGCGTTTTTGCGCGGAAAAGCGAGCGCGGATAACTCACTGGGCATGGAACCCCCGCCTGAACTCAGACAAGCCCTTAAGCTTAAGGAATCTGAAATTTGTCAGTTGTTAGGCAATGCCTACGGGAGGGTCGACGCTCCCCTACTGTTTTACAAAGAACTTTGTAAACAGTTGTTGGCGCTAGGATTCACTCGTCACCCCTTGGAACCATGTGTCTTTATGCTTTACACCGGCCATCAGTTAAACGGGATCCTGGGGATGCATGTGGACGACGGTGTTGGAGGGGGAGACACGAAGTTCAATGCAAAACTACAGGAGCTGGAAAAGAAACTCCCTTTTGGAAGTAGAAAGTATCGTGACTTTGTCTTTACGGGGATTCACCTTCAACAGCTTCCCGACTTTTCCATAAGAGCGTCCCAAAGTAGTTATGTGCGCAACATTCCTCAGATCGACATTGGTCGTCCTCGGCGTATGACTCCAGAAGCTCAGATCAATGAGTCTGAGCGATCCAAGCTACGTGGTCTTGTGGGCAGTCTTCAGTATGCGGTCACGCATACTCGACCTGATATTGCCGCGAAACTAGGTGAAGTCCAGAGCCAGATCACGCAAGCTACCGTGCAGACTCTCCTGTTGGCCAATAAGGTCTTGCGGGAAGCCCAGGAGCATCACGCGGTATGCATTTACTTCTTACCCATCACACCGAGTGAGCTCACATTTGTCTCCTTTGGCGATGCTTCTTTCGCTTCCTCCAAAAACCTCAATTCGCATCAAGCAGCCTTGGTCTGTGCAACAGATTCGCGTTTGAATCGGAATCTTGAAGCGCCTTTGTCACCCCTGTCTTGGGTTTCTAAGAAAATCCCTAGGGTTGTTAGGTCCACTCTTTCAGCTGAAGCATATGCAATGTCCAAAGCGGTGGATCTTCTTGGGTGGCTCCGAGCCATGTGGGGTGTCATTCACGTGCCTGACTTTTCATGGCAGAAGCCAACAGAAGGCTTCAAAAAGCTGCCAACTGCAGTGGTGGTCACCGACTGTAAGTCTCTGTATGACTTGGTCACCAGGTTGGCCATGCCATCATGCGAAGAATACAGGACCACATTAGAGGTTCTCCTAATCAAACAACGTTGTGAGGAGAACACTTGTTTCAGATGGATACCCACCACACTGCAAGCAGCCGACAGCTTGACAAAAGCCATGGATGCCTCACTGTTGCGTGCTGTATTGTCCCAAAGCAGATTTAAATTGTATGACAGCGATAACACACTAGATAAGGCGGCGCAAAGACAACAGGCAGTTCAGTGGATCTCCCAGAATCCACATCAGCTCGCACAGATCTGATATGTCACGAGTCTCTGCAGACTCCCTTGAGATGTACATCAGCAGATCGTGCTTGTCCAAAAACAATGGTCAGTGTGAAAACGCTGACTTCTCAGGATACATTGGACATGCACGCTCTGTGGCCACGAAGGTCCAAGGTGCGGGAGGGTCAGGGCTTAGCTTACCGCTGGGAGAGCTGGCGGCAAAAGGGGGCAATCCTTGCAGAGTACAGGGTACTTGATCTCCTTTATTCTGGCGATATTCATCACTGTTGCAGGGCAGCAGTTATCTTTCATCTTCAGATTGCAGGGCAATCTAACGGAACTTTCAGTTCCATCAGGCTTCGGGGAAGCCCTTGATCTACCAGTGGGAATTCTTGATTGAATTCACAAGGGTTTAGGGTTTAGCGGTGCAGTCCATCTGAGTCCTGGCGACTCTGAGTGCTTGGGACCTGTTTTTGGATTCATAGGGTTTAGGGTTTAGGGTTTAGGGTTTAGGGGCTTTTTAGGGCTTCGGGTTTATAGGGATTTGGGTTTAGGCTTAGGTTTGGGACATTTCATATTATGTATTAGGGTTTACGTATTGGGGTTGGGCTTAGGGGTTTGGGACGTATTCTTAGGGTTCATAGGGTTTAGGCTTAGTTTTGTTTCTGGGTGGGGGGAGGGTTCTGAGAAGTATGGCCACTTACCAGTCATCCCAAACACTAAGCCCCAAACTCTAAACCCTAAACCCTAAACCCTAAACCCTAAACCCTAAACCCTAAACCCTAAACCCTAAACCCTAAACCCTAAACCCTAAACCCTAAACCCTAAACCCTAGCCCTAACTACCCGAACCCTTGAAGTCCACAGCATACAGCCAGCCATGATCTGCAAGGTGAAGACTCCCAGCACTGTTTCGGTTTAGGGCTTAGGGTGTCGGGTTTAGGGTATAGGGTTTGGGGTTTGGAGCATGGGGCTTGGGGTTTAGGGCTTCACGCAGGGTTACGGGTTTCTTGTTTAGGGTCCTCTTTCAGTTTGCCAAGGGGCGTAGAGGTTTGGAAACGGGCAGAGTTTAGGACAATGAAGTCACCCTGCCGCTTACCCACAGTAGTTCAGCAGTTCAAACAATTCTGATGGGTTTATGGAAAACAACCACCGGGAACCAGGCGAGAAGCAGCTTTCGGCCTGTTTTGGGATCTGGAGGAATCAGGTGGCCTGCTAGAACCCCGAATATCCCTAAACCTTAAACCCTAAACCCTAAACCCTAAACCCTAAACCCTAAACCCTAAACCCTAAACCCTAAACTCGCCCAGCCTCTTGTCCCACAGGATGATGTACCTGCAGCTAGTCGGGCATGGAACTGTCCCAAGCGCGCGCTCCACAAAAAGCCTTACACTATTTAGGGTTTATGGTTTAGGTCCCCCCTCTAGTTAGAAGTGGAGTTCTAAGGACCCTGAATAGGCTTGTAAGGCTCCTAACTCAGGTTAGAAGTCCAGGCCGGTGCTAGGGGACACTAACAACCCAGCAATTCCACCCGGACTGTCATTCCTCTTCTCTTTGTCAATCAGACTATTATTAGGGCCAGCATCGCAGTGCATGAATATCAGCGCTGCTCTTGACCTGACGACTTCAGAGGAATTCGTGGGCCTCGTGTCGGGCGCAGGGAGGCGGGGGGAGTGGGTAAGGGCTTCGCTTGGGATGTTCTCCCTTGTACCAACAGTGCTTATAGGGATTCTAATCGGAGGGTACTAGAATCCCTAGTAAGGACTTAGTATAAGGAAAAACATCCCAAAACTTCGCGTCCTTGTGTCTGTTGTTTGACACAGGATCGAAGGCGAAGGTCGCAGGACGTATGTTTCCGGACAAGAGTTCTGCTTAGCTTGCTTGCTTGGTAGCCTGGTAGCCCAGTAACCATCTCAAAATACGGGTACCCTGTTTTGGGGTTGGCGACTGTACAAAGGGAACCCAAAACCCAAAAAAGGTGAAGCGTACCACTGGGCTACCAAGTCTCGGGTGTATGGAGTTTGGCTAAACCTTGAGGAGTTGTCGGTGCTGCCAGGAAGCTGCACCGACGTCGAGGTGGTTGCTGAGTCCTGGGCAAAGCACCATCAACCTTATAAAATGAGGGCCTTAATAATTGGGCAGGGCTTTGGGGGGGAGGTTTATGACAGTATACTTTTTATGAAGGGAAGAGTACTAACATATGTTAAGTTTTTTAGCTTACAGGGTTTCGGAAAGCAGGTAGCCCCGAGGCCCTGCAGTAGGCGCTTGGGACACCCTGACCATTGCCCCCAGGTAAGGGCTGTTAACCGAAGGCAGAACATCCCATACCCAGCTGAGGCGTTCATGAGCCTGGCACCCGAAACCCCCACCCTGAACCCTAAACGCACCTGCTTAGGGTTTAAAGGAAATATAAGGCATATAGGGTTAGAGGGTTATGAGGGCTTAGAGGGCTCAGAAGTTTCAGAGGATCAGAGGGGTTAGAGTCCACATCTGGAATGGTTGTCAAGCTACGCTACCAACATACAGTACCTTAGATATGTCTAGACATGTCATGCACACCCTTGTGTGACAACATAACTTACGCTCCTTGAATGCAACCCAGCTTCATGAACCCTCTTGTAATTTAAGGAATGTTTCTTAATTCAGGGTATTGGAGTCCCTGGGCAGCTCCCAGAGATCTGAAAAGCGTTCCATTGGGAAACTCATTGGGTTACCGCTCCGGTTTAGGGTCCAGCGTTCAGGGTTTGGGGTTTAGGGTGTATCCTATGCCGAGCACAAGCCATATGACTACTATAGAAACAGAAGATGATGGATGCGCGAGCTCGGATTCAGAAGGCCTATTCCACATTACGCGCCACATCAGATCCAACCGAAGACCTGCAATCAGAGATATTAGAGATTCAAGCTGCAAACACAAAGAAGAGCTCGTGGCCGTCACAACCACAACCACAGCAACCACAACTATGCACCCGACAGATTCGTTCCGTGATAGCACCGAAAAAACCGGCTAGGGCCATAAAACGCATCTGGCGGCATTGCGGGTGATGTACGTGAGGGCGGGCGGAATCTCGATGTACGTAAAGTTGTACCAGAAGGCTACTAGCTCCTGAACGTTCAGCGTTTGTTTAGGGTTTAGGATTTAGGGTTTAGGGTTTGGGGAGTAGAAACCCTAAACCCTAAACCCTAAACCCTTTAGGGTTTAGGATCCTTAAAGCCTGTAGGGCCCAGGTTTAGGCTCTCACATTACACCCTCAGATTAGCAGGGACAGGACCTTCGTCGGGGGAGTGGGGCGAAGAACTCTCAAATTACACCCCAGGAACCCTAAACCCGGATACCCTAAACCCTAAACCCTAAACCCTAAACCCTAAACCCTAAACCCTAAACCCTAAACCCTAAACCCTAAACCGCGGCTAAGAACCTCTTCTGTTGCAGCCTGCAGCATCTCTGGACCCTAGCTCCTCGTCCCTGAAGGTAACAAAAGAGATGTCGGCCCCATGCAGAGACCGCAGAACATTCAAGCCCCCTAAACCCTAGACCCTACCTGGTAAACCCTCAACCCTTAACCCTAAACCCTATATAAACGCTAAACCCTAAACCCTAACAAAGGAGTGCCTCCACCCCTCTGTCAGCCTATAAAACGCCATCCTTGCAACCGGAAGCCCCACCCAACCAAGCAACAATAGGAATGGCAATGGTAGTCGTGATTCTTACTCTAAACCCTAAACTCAAAACCCTAAACCCCAAACCCTTGCAACACTTTCGGGGCCACGAGAAGCTGGGCAACCATAAACACGAGACCCTGACTGAACCCATGGAACGCAGCCCGCAAGCCCCACAACCCATGAGCAGGAAGCGCCAAAAACCGGCAACTATTTTGACTGTTCACCATAATCCGTGTGCCATGCTCAGGAAGCACCGGCAGTCGTGCTGCAAACAGCAGTGGAAACATTTTTCGGGTGTCCAACCCCCCCCCCCCCCCTGGTGGGGAAGTCGAGAGGTTGAGGGTGTCAAACCCACCCTGGATAGACCTCTCGTGAGCTCACGGTTTTATGGTTCTAAAACCCGTGAGCTCACTTGAGCTGCAAGCAAAGGGGTCAAGGTACGATGGGGCACTATAACCCCTTACTAGGGACTTAGTATAAGGGGGAACATCCCAAGTCATGGGTGCTCTTTAGGGAATACTTGCGGGTCTGGGTTGCACTTTTGGGCTACTGGGTCCAGAGTGCTGCTTTTGCTTCTGGGGTGCAAGGATGAGCAAGCTCCATGATGCAGGTTGGAACCTTTGGGGGCGCTACTTGACATGGAAAACTTGGATATTTTCGGGTCTGCGCACCCTCTATGTGTGCACAGGGAAACTGTGCGCAACCCTGAACCCTATATGACTTACACGCAAAACCCTATAAACCCTAAACCCAACACCCTACACCCTACACCCCAACCTATAAACCCTAAACCCTAAACCCTACACCCTGAACCCCAATTAGGGCGAGGACGGCTCGCCTTGATGGTGCCCGTGGTGTCTGGCCAGATACTGGCTTGCTCGAAGGAGACGTTGTAGGTACAGCTGCCTGGCCATATGGGTTTAGGGTTTAGGGTTTAGGGTTTCGGGTTTAGGGTCAGTTCTCAAAACTATGGTCACTTTTTGGGCACCCTGAATATTCGGGCCCGACTTATGGAAGTAAGTTGAAAAGGGACCCTAATTTAGAGAACTGGCCAGATTTCGATTTTGACCGGTAATTCGGCTGCTGGGTTCGAGGGTTTGGGGTCTGGGGTTCAGGGTCTAAGGTTTAAGGTTTAAGGTTTAAAGTTTAAGGTTTAAGGTTTAGGTGGGGGGGGGGGAGACACGGCAGACCAGGAAGTCTTTGGGCCTAGGGTTTCGGGGGACTTGTGGCTGGAAGACGTATGTTCCCTTCGCTTGATGGTTTTTCCGGCAATTCCATCGGTGTCAGGTTTAAGCGGAGTTATAAGGGCCTTACACTGGTTTAAGTAGCAAACTTCTAAACCTAACTGTAGCATAGGGAAGGCCCTGCACCTGCATCGTCAGAAGACCTAAAGCAAGGCGCCTTGGCAGTAGAAACTACAAGTATGCTTAGGACTTGCAGCGCTGGAGCATTACATAGGCATCAAGGCTGCTTCTTACGGCCAGAACAACTAGACACCAAACTACGTCCAAAGTTCGAATAGAAATGGATATGTAAACAAACAAATACATAAATGTACATCTGTATATATATATATATATGTATATACAGTATATACACATGCAAATACAAAAACCGAATATAGACATAAACGAACAGCCAGACAAGCAAGCATGCACATGCAAGCAGCTGCGATGCGGCTCGGCGTTGCCAGACCCCAAACTCCCAGATTCCGAAGGGGGACACACCATTCAGGCCTCCGAAGGATTCCACAATGCTTCAGAGTAGCAGGTGCCTAAACCCTAAAGCCTAAAGCCTAAAGCCTAAAGCCTAAACCCTAAACCCCAACATGTCAAGTGCAATGACCTCTACTGGCCACTTTTCCGGAGCCTTCGGGGATGCAAGATGAACCGCGGCTCAGGGAAGACTGTCTTCAGGGGATTAAGACTCGTACCCCTAAGGTTGTGCCACTAGAGAAGGCCCCCTTAATATACTCCAAATATTGCCCTTACATTCCCTTTGAGAATCCTTAAAAAGGGAACCCAAACCCAGGGTTCAACCTTAGGGGGTCCGAGGTACAGCAGAGTTCCATGAAGTCTGTGCTCAGTGGGGAACCAGCCAGGGCTTGGTGCTGACGTTGAGCAGCTACTGAGCAAGAACCCCCCAAACAAATGCAGAATTGTAATCCCTATATTGCCCTTCTAAGGAAGAACATTTGTGTTTTTTGGGGTGGTTATTAAGCAAAGAGTAGGCAGAAAGTGCAGGTCTGGAATGAGAGATACGATTCACGTCTTGAGAATCCCCGCCCCAGAGTTCACCACCCTAAGCCCTAGGTAGGGTTTAGGGTTTAGGGTTTAGGGTTTAGGGTTTAGGGTTTAGGGTTTAGGGTTTAGGGTTTAGGGTTTAGGGTTTAGGGTTTAGGGTTTAGGGTTTAGGGTTTAGGGTTTAGGGTTTAGGGTTTAGGGTTTAGGGTTTAGGGTTTAGGGTTTAGGGTTTAGGGTTTAGGGTTTAGGGTTTAGGGTGTAGGGTTTCAGAAGGGTGCGCTGTGGGGCCTGTGTTTTTTTTAACGCTCTTCGTGGAAGATTCCGTTGTTTGAGGTTGGACGGGCGAAGTTAAGTAGTTGAACTATACTAAGGTTAGATGGGCGTGGTTGACTGTCATACGTTACTGGTTAGGTAAGGTTAACTTGATTTCTTATGGTTCATTTTTATAGAGTTTTTTTGTGTAGAGGAAGGGTTTGCTTATAAGCAGATGGCTTGCTTATAAGCATTGATTCTTTGGGGGTGGGGGGGAGGGGGGGGGGGCTCTTCGTTGAAGATTCCGTTGTTTGAGGTTGGATGGGCGAAGTTAAGTAGTTGAACTATACTAAGGTTAGATGGGCGTGGTTGACTGTCATACGTTACTGGTTAGGTAAGGTTAACTTGATTTCTTATGGTTCATTTTTAGGGTGGGGGGGGGTGGGTGGGGGGGGAGGGGGGGGGGGGGGGGGGGTGGGTGGGGGGGGGTTGTTTGGGTGTGAGGGGGAGAACCAACACCCAAGACCCCCCCCCCCCCCCCTCCCCCCCCCCCCCCCCCCCCCCCCCCCCCCCCCTCCTCGCCCAGATGCCTGGATATAAAATCTTTAAAATTTAATTGGAACTCCATTGAAATTTTAAAGGTTTTAAAGGTTTTAAAGCCTTTAAATTCCTTTAAAACCTTTAAAATTTAAATGGAGGTCCAATTAAATTTTAAAGGGCGCGGGCCCCCTTTAAAATCTTTAAAATCATTAAAATCTTCAAAATCTTTAAAATTTAATTGGACCTCCATTTAAATTTACATGGTTTTAAAGGTTTTACAGCCTTTAAATTCCTTTAAAACCTTTAAAATTTACTTGGGGAGGCCCTCAATTAAATTTTAAAGGGGCGGGCCCCCCCTTCAAAATCTTTAAAATCTTTGAATTTAATTGGACCTCCATTTAAATTTAAATGGTTTTAAAGGTTTTAAAGCCTTTAAATTCCTTTACAAAATTTACTTGGGAGCTCAATTAAATTTTAAAGAGGGTGGGCCCCCTTTAAAACCTTTAAAACCTTTAAAATTTATTTGGACCTCCATTTAAATTTTCAAGGTTTTAAAGGTTTTTAAAGCCTTTAAATTCCTTTAAAACCTTTAAAATTTAAATGGAGGTCCAAGTAAATTTTAAAGATTTTAAAGATTTTAAAGGGGGCCCGTCCCCTTTAAAATTCAATTGTGGGCCTCCCCAAATAAATATTACAGGTTTTAAAGGAATTTAAGGGCTTTAAGACCGTTAAAACCATTTAAATTTAAAGGGAGATTTTAAAGATTTTAAAGGGGGCCCCTCCCCTTTAAAATTTAATTGAAGGCCTCTCCAATTAAATTTTAAAGGTTTTAAAGGAATTTAAAGGCTTTAAATTATTATCCTGTGTATGCCCGCGTGCTTGTAAATATAGAGTATCCAGGATAAAGAGTGTCATGTGCATGCACACCTGCTTTATAAACACTTGTGCCCTGCAAAAACACTAAAAAAAAACACAGGCCCCACAGCGCACCGCCCTCTAGGGTTTAGGGTTTAGGGTTTAGGGTTTAGGGCTTAGGTTTATCCAAAGCCACCTGTGTCCTAGCTTCACAGACGCAGCCCTCAGCCTTTCAACCCTAAACCCTAAACCCTGAACCCTAACCCTGACACGCTTTATAATAAGCACGCCTGCCCAGTACGCATCGTCCGGCTTGATGATGACGATGCGGGACCCTGCAATCTCAATCCCAGCCTGCCACGCGCTAAGCCCTAAACCCTATAACCCTACACCCTAAACCCTAAACCATAAACCCTAAACCCTAAACCCTAAAAACCCTAAAAACCCTAAACCCTAAACCCTACTAAACCCTAAACCCTAAACCCCTAAACCCTAAACCCGAAACACTAAACCCTAAACCCTAAACCCTTAGCAGGTTGAGGGGTGATTGAGTCCCAAAAGCTAGAAACTTTGTGCGTTGAACTTGTCATGTCCTTGCTCTCTCTATCGAAGCAAGCCACTAGAAACCGCAAAGCCCAGGCCGCGCAAGCTACAACCACCTGATCATGCCGGTTGAGGAGGGTTTAGGGTCTCGGGTCTAGGGTTTAGGGTCACAAGGGTTATAGGGTTTAGGGATCATGCCGGTTGAGGTGCAAGACCATGGAGGTCAAGTTCAAGGACTTTTTCCTAGCTGTGCGCCATGTGGTCCTGACAGAGTCCTGCACGGTAGTCCGGTCCTTCTGGAGCATGAGCCATGTCGTGACTTTGAGGGTTGTGGGTTTTAGGCGGGGGGTCATTAATAATTTGGGGATTCTTGAAGAAGGCTGAAGAGTTCAGGGTTAAGCTCTCGGTTCCAGCTCCACAGAGTCTAAGAACCAGCGCCACGTGATAGAGATTCGCTGACCACGGCCGATGGGCGGCACACCATGCTTCCACTTGTACCGTGCCTCGCCTTTCTGCAAGAAGCAGCAGCCGACCACTTCCTATACTTCCCTTAGAATCTTAATAAAGATAATATTTTAAATATCCTCTTGGGTTTCATATGAACAAAAATGAAAAAGCAAATCCCAAGGGGGATATAGCTTCATCGATGAGGTATCGTTCTGTTGGCCTGCCGCGCTTGTCTGTGGAGTGGAACTCGAGAGCGCTATCGGAACTGTTGAACACCACACACCCGAACACGGCATCCCTGTAGACGTAGGGCCTGTCAGCATGCCAGGGGATAAATTGCCCGGCTTCGTAAAGCAGGCAGCTCACGTTCAACCTCTCTTCGTCGAGGGGAAGGGAGGCATCCAGCATGTGCATTACCCTGGAGAGCATCTCGCGTAGACACGGGAAGGCCGCGAGGGGTGTGGCTGCCTTAGCCCTGTACACAGACGTGCCCACCGCATCATCGTAGGAGCCCTCATATGTCCAGCCAATCTCCACAGCGGTCCGCCGTTGTGTGGCCCGGTCTTTCCTACAGGGTTTGCTTGAAAAACCGCAAAGAAGTGGTCTACTTGTACTTTAACTGTTTTAGGGAGGTCGCTTAATTTTGTGAGGGTATAAGAAGCACATACGAGTCTCGTGGGAATGTTCAGCATGTGTGGCAGCAGCTCGGCCAGCACGGTACCAACCAAGGCCTCATCCACTTTGCCAAGATGAAGGCCGCGGGGGACGGCGCGCGTCAGGGCCACCAACTGCGCGACCTGCCAGTCTTCGCGCCAGCTGGAGGGATACCACGTCTGAAACTCATGCTCCTTATAAGCATAGCCTGGCTTCTGAGAAAATGCAGGGAAGCGACAGGTTCACCTTTATTCCTTCAAACTTCAAAATCAAGGAAGCCCGACAATCTGTTAAGGATCGACCCAAAAGCTGACAAAGCCTCAACCAACGCTAAACCCTAAACCCTAAGCCCTAAGCAATATAAGCCCTAAACCCCAAACCCTAAACCCTGAACCCTAAACCGCAAGGCAAGTCGCCATCTCGGGCGATGCGCAAGTCGTAGCACGGGGCAGCGCACGAGGACAAGTCGAAAGCCATGGCACGGCGATGCGAGACTACGCTGCACTGACACACCTCCAGCCGAAGGGAGGCATGCCTTTCAGGGTAGATTTATAAGCAGCTACATGGTCCCTTATGAATATGAGTCGGCCTTGATTGGGGACCTCTCATATGCCCCTTCTGTACCCTAAACAACCCAAGAGCACATATTTCAGAACCCTTTGAAGAAGGTAAGGGACCATATTGAGGGACCATGTAGCCACCCTTGGAGTTGAGGCTTTGTGGGGTTTAGGGTTTAGGGTTTAGGGTTTAGGGTTTAGGGGTTAGGGGTTAGGGGTTAGGGTTTAGGGTTTAGGGTTTAGGGCTCAGGGATTTGTAGCGTCACGGCAGAGGTTGCCCAGACTTGTCGGTGGGCAGACCTCAACCTTGGGTTTAGGGTTTAGGGTTTAGGGTTTAGGGTTTAGGGTTTAGGGTTTAGGGTTTAGGGTTTAGGGTTTAGGGTTTAGGGTTTAGGGTTTAGGGTTTAGGGTTTAGGGTTTAGGGTTTAGGGTCCCCAAAGTCTTCGACACTCAGAGGCGGAACTCCCAAATCCTAAGCCCACAAAAACCCTCAACTCAAAACAAAACACAAGCCTAAACCCGAAACCCTAGGCCCTAAACCCTAAACCCTAAACCCTAAACCCTAAACCCTAAACCCTAAACCCTAAACCCTGGAACTGCGAAGCCTTCACTTCAGCACCGAAATGCCTAAAGCCCTGAAGCCCCAAATTAACTCAAGCTCTCATAGAGCGATGCGAAACGCGAAACCCTAGACTAGAAACCCTAAAGCCTCAGTAACCCTAAACCCTAAACCCTAAACCCTAAACCCTAAACCCTAAACCCTAAACCCTAAACCCTAAACCCTAAACCCTAAACCCTAAGCCCTAACGCAAAACCCTAAACCCTCAACCCCAAACCCTACGCCTTCACTCTCTCAGACCTCGCCTCAGTGCCCAGGCTCGTTGTTTTGATGGCGTCCGCATAGCCTTTGGAAAGCTTCTGTTCTACAATAGGCTTTAGGGCTTAGGGTTTATGGTAGGGCCTAGGTGCATGCGTTTGGGGTTTGGGTTTAGGGCGGGTTTAGGGGGGGAGATGGAGCTTCGGGGCAGGGGGGGGGGGGGGGGAGACAGGGGCCCCTGGCGAATCTGCGGGGCGCCTCCCCAGTGCACATGGCGACGCTCCTGTTCAGGATGAAAACCCCAAAGCGTGGGGGTCCCTGGCACTGGCTGCCCTGTGCCCAGAGTAGTGCGGCTAGTAAGCTACGCGAGCACGCGAAAGGAAGAGAGAGCGCCCGGAACTCTTAACAAAGAGGCACTCCTCGCTTGATGTTGTGGGCGCAGGGGTGCGCTGGGGCTTGGAACAAGTCCAAGGGCTTCGGGGCTAGGGGTTTAGGAGGTTTAGGGTTTCGGGGTTTAGGAGTTTAGGGTTTAGGAGTTTAGGGTTTAGGGGAGTTGGAGTTTAGGGTTTAGGGGGGGGAGTTTTGTTTGTTTGCATTTGTGGGTGGGGGGGTGCGGGGGTGGGGGTGAGGGTGAAGGAAGAGTTTCGGGCTCGGGGTTTTATAGAGTTCAGGCCCAGGGTGTGGCGTGCGGCGGTTGATCTAGCTTTGGTACCCTTAACTCTACCCAAACACTCCAATCTAGTTCCTTTTTGGTTTACTTCTAGGGGATTTTAGTATGCTACCCCAAAAAGGTACTACATAGGAGCCTTTGGGTAAGGAAGATACTGCAGTCGAGACCCACCCCTCAGCCCTCACTCCAGAACTGGGCCAATGCTGGCACAAGGGCTCGGGCTTTAGATGCTCGGGTTGACAACTTGAGGGTCTAGTTGGTGAAGTTTCTGCCTATAAGGTCTTCCCTGAACCCGAAAAACCCTTCACCGCAAGGTTGGGGAAGCCGGAGGATTCGGCTGTGTGCCCGAAACCCTAAAAACCACAAACCCTTAACCACATAAGTCCTAAACCATGGAGGACCAGAACCAGGCATGTGGCCCCAAGCCCGTCTGCACCCCGTCAGCAACTTGCGCTAGGTGTTTTGGGTTTCGGGCTCAGAGTCCACAACCGTGCGCCGTGTTTTAGGGTTATTTAAACCCTAAACCCTAAAACCTAAACCCTAAACCCGGGGGACTCAACACATGGCCCTGGAGGTTGTAGCGGTAGTTCTCTACATTCGGAACATTCGGTTCCCTGCCCAAGGTTCGCTTATCTTAGAATACGCCTCGCGCATAGCAAGGATCACGAGTAGGACAACGAGTAACTACCCCAGCGATTGCAGGGTTGAGGGTTTTTTCTGTCTGAATTTGTGTTTAGGACTATACTACCACCCAAAAAGGTTCAACGTTAATTACTTGCCCAAATTCCAAGAGAAGCCCTGCTTCATCCCAGGTGGCGAGAGAAGTTGTAAGTACCATCGGCCGAAGCCAAGCAGTTCTCTCCTGACCTTGGGATTTAGGAGGCCGCCCCCCACCCCCCCCGCACCCCGCAGTTTTAAGTAGAGTTCTAAGGACCCCAAATTGGGCAATGAGGCGCCTAACTTAGGTTATAAGTCCCTTAACTGCTAGTATAGTAGGGGAAAGGGGGGCCTCCTTGCAGGGTTTTCGGTCATGGGGTCTGGAGGTCTGGATGCAAATTAGGGTTTATAGGGTTTAGGGTTTAAGGTTTAGGGTTTCGGGTTTAGGGTGCTCTTGGAAGGTGTCGGGGACGTAGAGGAGGTTAACGGTTGCTTTGGGATGCGCGGTCGGTCCCGGCTCCGTCGGCAAGACCCGCAACAGTACACCAAAAACCCAAAGCCTACACCCCTCACCCTAAACCCTATACACCCTATAAACCCTACACCCTAAACTCCACCGAAAGCATTTAGGGGAGCCTACCGGATCCCTAAAAACAACAGGTGGGGGGAAGAGGGGGGGGGGGGGGGGTGACAAAATCCTGGAAGACCAAAGAAACCTAAAATTGGGATCATATACTTTTAGGGCTTTAGGGTTTAGGGTTTAGGGGGCATATACCCTGTACTACGATAATCCTTACTAGGGTATATGCACCATAAACCTTTTAGGGCTCATTTGGTCCCTCGATCAGATGTAGCAGAACCTTCTTTGTGGTCTCGAACACCAACTCTTGCAAAGTAACTTCGCTTACCACAAAGGGTTTAGGGTGTTTAGGGCTTAGGGGTTTAGGGGTTTAGGGGTTTAGGGTTTAGGTGACACAAAGGGCCCACTGTTGAGTTCAATCCACATATGCATTCCAGACGGCTTGATGACGTCGATCTTTCTCGTGGTGTTGCCGGGCTTGATCGCCTCCCCGAAGGGGTTGGCGCTGGATATGGGGGGTTTCCGAATTTGGGGGGACCTTATTGGGGTCCTCATTCTCAGGGAGTCCTACTATGTGGGGGTCTATATTGGGGGTCCCGCATTTTCGTAAACCCCATAGAGGTGAAAGTTGGCTTTCTTTCGGGCAGGCTAGGGGCAGGAGGTTGGATGTGTGGTAAGAATAAACATAAATAAAGGCAAAGGAACGTGGATGACCAAAACCTTAAAGACCCCAAAACGGATTATGGTTCATATACCCTACTAAGGATTGGAGTAGTACAGGGTATATGATATGATCCCCAGTTTTAGGGTTCATTTGGTTTCCAAGGACTGTCCATGTTCTACACTAAACAGGGTAGGAGACTTGGATTCTTAACTTATATGGGTTGGCGGTCTCTTTAAGTAGGGTTTCTGCTTTATAGGAGGGGTTCTTATAAGCGTATCTAGGGGCCATATTAAGGCATAAGGGCAACAAATAAAGAGGCCACCGGCCTTTATCATTCTTTACGCATTTCCCAGACTGCAACTCGGAGCTCTTGGAATGCTTGGCGTCGTTCGGTGAGCACAGAACGGCGCATGACAACGTGTGTTTCGGACCAGAACATACGCGGTTCAGGGAAAGTGCTCGACCACGTTGCTTGCAGGAACACTACAGAGCAAGCTTCGCTACAGATGCGTTTCAAGATGGCCTGCTGGGCCCAGATTCTCGTGGATTGGCGCGGAAGAGCTTTGGGTCCGGTGAGAAAATGGCAATGTCTGTGTGCTGGGAATCTACGTTCTCAGGATAAAGCTGGCTGGATAGCAGGCCCGTTTTTTCTTGGCCCCCTAGCCCTAAACCCAAAACCACAAACCCTAAACCCCAAACCCCAAACCCTACACCCTTAGGCTCGCCCGTAACCCCCTAAAACCATCAGACGACCGAAACCCAGGGCGCGATGTCCTGGTCGAAGGCCACCATGATGCTCCCGGGGCTTCCATAGACATCCGCATTGGGGAGAGTGAAGATGGTCCTCAGAGCTCCGAGTTTTCTAGCGCTGCTACGGAATTCGGCCACCGAAATTCCATACCTTACCAAAAGGTCATGGTACTACACAGGGGTGTCCGGGTGAGGGCGAGGGTGTTTTGGGGCTCTCAGAGTTAAAGGTTTGGAAGGGTTTAAGACCCAGGGCTAGGGTCTTGGGTCTAGGGCTTGGGGTTTAGGGTTTAGGGGGACACCTGTAGCTCTTGGCACCTACAAGGAGGGCCCCCTTCCTATCCTAACTGCAGGTAAGAGACTTATAACGTAAGTAAGGAGCCTTATAACCCATTCAGGGTCCTCATAGCTCTACTTCTCATAAGTGGGGGGGGGGGGGCTGCATGCTTGTCAGTTTATGGATCGCAAAAAAGGTAACAAGAAGAAAGGATACCGCCAAAATAGGAGCTGCACGACAGTGACAGGTTTAAGCACCCTTTCTTGAGCTTGCCCCCAGGCTTGCACCCGAGTTACTACCCCCCTAAACCCTAAACCCTAAACCCCAAACCCTAAACCCTAAACTATAAACCCTAAACCCAATTCCGAAATCGGAGGTCTGGTAAACTTTTGGGGGAGGGCAACCCGAAAGCCTATGTCCTAGGGTGGGCAAAGCTGGACGAGCTGTTCTGAGAGGCAGGAAAGGAGCCTCAAAGAAGGGTTTAGGGTTTAGGGTTTAGGGTTTCCTC